TGTCTGCTCCACGTTTTTCTCCAGCTGAGCAGCCTTTTCACTGGCTTTTGTGAGCTCAACTTGTACTTGCTCCAGCTGCCTAGAACGACCAAGTGAAAGAACATTACTTTTTGCTGAGAGCACAACAAGCACAGAGATCAAAGAGTCTAAATTCTGCTCAGGTTCTGTATTCTGTCCAAGCACTTAGAGAGATTTAATTAACACACAGAGAATGTCCTGCTGTGTGGAATACACACAGGGCAGACACTAAGCACTTGCTCCTTGCTCATGTGCAGAGCCTGTTACTTTGCCCCAAGTCTGGGGCTTGCTAAAGGGCAAGAACAACTGTTGTACATCAATTTTTACTGGAAACAAAGCACATTTTCTCTTGCTGGAGAAAAATGTGACCCAAGTCTTTATACATCCAAACTCACTGAGCTTATCAGATAATCAAACAACAAGAAGTACAACCACAAAACAGTCCAAATCACTAAGAAGGTCCTTTACTCTGAGCCATGAGCAGCAGGTTACGTAAGAACTGTAGAATTAGAAGCATTAGATGCTCTTCAGACCACTCCCAGGACACTGTTTTGATGAATTCAGTTTGCTGGAGTAAGTTCACTTGTCATATCAATGTGACGCTGGGAAGAATCTTGCTCAGACATCACAGAACCACGGGACAAGCAGTGGGAGCCAAGAGCTCCTGTGGCAGTGGTGAGTTACCTTTCCTTCAGCCTCAGCTCGTCGTTCATTCTCGTGAGCTGGGCAGAGCTGTCTCCTGAAGACGTCATGATCTCTGCAATGTCATTTTCGAGCTTGGCTTTAGCTTCCGCCAGTTGCCGCTCCCGCTCTTCTCGTTCCTTCAGCTTCTTCTCCATGTCTGAGCAAAACGAAGGTTGTTAGTCTGGTGAATTTAAGAGGCACAGCTAGAGGATAGTTAGGCACTGCAAATAGAGCAATATTGATGCTACAGACCCTGCAAATCAGCCCTTTAAAAACTGAGTTTTGAACTGTTAACTGCAGCCAAAGGTTAAGTACTCTTCAGAAATATCAAAGAGCAACGAGCAGGAAATCTTTGTTTCAGATGGGATTCACTTCAGGCCATGAGAAGTGGGTATAAGTCCTGCCCATACCTGAGGGTAAGCAAGCAGTGGAGTGAGAGACCTGCACATCTTGCAGCTCAGACCACTCAGCAGCAGAACAACAAAGGCAACATGGAGCTACAGTGAGAAGATGACTCGGCCCAGGCACAAGGGCAAGGGCAGCTCTGGGTATCACCTCTACAGGCCCAACACCATGACGAGAAGTTTCCTTCAGGGCACAGAGTCCTACCTGACTTCTGTCTAGGCTGGGCCCACATTGAGAGGTACACCTAGAGACACAGCAAGGCTGTCTGCCCTGAGCCAGGTGAGCAGAGAACACACAGGACCCAAGACACCTCCAGACAGCACACAGCAGCTCCGGGCAAGGCTGCTGGGAAGGAGCTAGTCGTGTGTGCAGTGCCCCAGCCTGGCCTCTGAGCCTTTGGGGCCTGACCAGCACCACAGGGTGGGTTTGCTGGGATGCCAAACAAGAGCTGTTGAGCTGGAATATGCTCAGCTAGCAAGTCCTCGGCCCAGCTGCACTGCCTCCTGAACAGCAGCATCACGTGCTGGGTCACAGCTCCCAGAGCCACAGACTCTGGCTTTTCCCAGCAAAAGGGCTTCCCTCTGCAGCCACAGGCACGTGTGGAAGCATTAGAGACTGTGCATGAGGGAACACTGTTCCAAACATTCCTTTTTGTTTCTGCCTTACCAGTCAAACTAGACTGCAGCTGCTCCATTTCTGCAGACATGTGTGCAAACTGCTCTTCTTTTTGGCTTAGTTTTCTCACTGATTCTAGGCAAGGAAAATTCAGAAAACAAAGTCAGCAACCACTTCAGTGTAGACAATCCCACCTGCCTGCAGGTGTGTCACTCTCTAGGAGGCTGCCAGCAATCCTGTCCCTCCCACAGCCACCGAAGCTGCTGTAACTCCCAGAGTGTTAAAAACCCTTTGTGGGCATTGCATTTCTGCAGCTCTTTAGCTGTCAGTTTGGCAGCACATACCTTGCATAGCTTGCTGAATTTTCTCTTCTTCATCAGCTGCACTAATAAACTTTTCTTTCTGGAAAAGGGATAAAACCTTCAGGTGAGGTTTGGCTGTGACAGTACAGTGCGACCACTGAACTTCTACCAGGTATTTTTCAAGCACAGCACAGACATCTTTGCTCTTATCATAAACAGATCTGAAGCTTTTGCACTGCAGTTTAGCACAGATGAATTCAGCCCCACAAAGCAAGTCCCCGAACACCCAAACTGCTGTCGCAGCCACAGAGCCCAGGGCAGGAGACAAGACTTTGGGGTCTCCATCCCTGGTGCTCACAGGCTGCAGAGTGCACATCTGCAACCCTGGGACCACCCTCCTCCCAGTGTCACCCAGCAGGATTCACTCCAGACACAGAGAACAAGGAGCACACTGAGGGAGGTAAGTGAGACACTTCCATCAACTTCAGTACTGTTGGCTGTGGAAGGATTTTATGACAGGGACAGTGCACCCAAAAACCTGGTTTTGTTCCTAACTCCAGTGTAGTTCCTCAGGAAAATCCTACCCCCCTACAGAACACTTGGAAATGTAGTTACATTTGCATAGTGAGAAATCAGATCAAAAATGCCTTCAGAAATCTCTCGAAGGTGCGTGCAGCAAGTGTTAACTTGTGCAGCAGCTACAGAGGGCCACGTGGCCCTTCCCAGCAATGGAAATCAAGCACAGGCTGCTCTGACACTGCACCTGCAATCCACCACCAGATGGATCTGCTAGGACAAAGCACCTGAGCACACAGGGCTCGGGTGAAACCTTCTCCATCCTGAGGCAAATCCTACCAGTCGTGACCCTTGGCCTGCTGCACAGCAGCTCTGAAAGGCTCTGGTCAGGGCTGACCCCAGGCTTCACTTCCACTCTCACCATCAACCCAAAATCCAAAGAGTAAAGGCAAAATTTTTGGGTGTTACTCACCAAAACTTGAAGTTCCTTTTCCAAAGAATCTTTAACTTGATTTACTGCACTCAAGTTTTTCTCAAGGTCAAGAAGCTTTTGCTCTTTGCCCTGCAGTTCTGTGGCCAGATTACTAGCCTAACAAAGGTGATGAAATGGAGCAAAACAAAATGACAAATATGAATGAAAAATTAGGAAAATTAACAGATGAGGCTGAAAGAAATAATTAGAACATTAAAATCACTCTGAGAT